AATGCTGTGGTCCCCGGCGCTAAGCACCATGCACGCACAGAGAGGCCAGCGAAATGCAGCCTAAGGCAGGCAGGAAGGCGGGTCGTGATCTTCGGAGATGAACCACCACTGGGGACTCCCAGGCCCTTCCTCTCCCCGTGCCAGTCCAGCGGGCTGCTGGCCGCCGCTTCGCAGTACCAGACTGCCCCCCCCCCACCTTCTGCATGGCCTTCCACCTTCCTTCCCCAACAGACAGCAAAGGACACCCCCGCCCCGCCCCACCCCACCGCAAGAAACAGGCAGCACTGAAACAGCAGCGTCCCTCAGCTGCTCCCCCACATCGTGCCTCCATGCAAGGGGATCCGGCCTCACCCCAATGGGGCCTGGACCCTGCCAGCCCATCGCGGAGTTGCCAGACCCCAGCACCTTGCTAGACATGCACAGCCCCCGCCGTGCGCATGGGGACACGCAGGCGCACACGAGTGTATGACAAGCGAGAGAGCAGATGTGCGTCCCTGGAGACAGCCACGGCACACCGAAGCACAGAGAGATGGGCAATGGTTTACCGCTCCTAGCAACCGCATGGGCAGACTGGTCTGAGCCCGGTAGGTGCCCCTCGCCTCGGGACACAGCATCACGCCAGGATGCGCCAGCACCCTGGGGCCCGGCTCGGAACCGACAACGCAGCCATTACAGGCAGGCCTGTGAGTAGTTGTGTGCCCGGGATCCTGCCACACGCGCGCCATGACCCCTTGGAAGCCGGCGGGCTCTGGGAGCGGCAGCCACAGCGCGCCCAGAAAACGCGGCCCCTTTTGCCGATGTGAATTCTGCAAAACCCAGAAGGGCTCCTCCGGTATCGCGCCTCTTGGCTACACTCGGCTGCAAGGCCTGTGCCCAGGGGAAGGGGAAAAACCACCGCAGAGCAGCCGGCCGAGGCGTCCTGGCCGGTCCTTTCGCGAGAAGGCAAACAAGCTTCCGAACGCAGCATGCAGAGGGGGAGCGCCGCGGGGACGCGCCGAGGGAAGGGGTACAACTAGCATCGGGAGGAGATCCTGGGACCTGTCTTTCCAGTTTACAGATGACAGTATTGGCAGTGCCAGGGCTAAGGTTAGGGCATGACTGTCTAGTCCAGCATGGAGCAGGTCATCTTAATTAAAAAAAAATGGAGTTTGCAAACTGATTCAGAAAGTGTTTGCGTCTCTCTGGAATATTTTATTTTATATTTGTACATATATCTCACAAATATATTTGTGATATATATATTTATATTTATAAAAACATATACATTATATATACTAATTCACCTCCTCACACACCTCCAGTACAAACATGAACACGATCCCCCGCCCCCCGCTTACAACAACTGAGTTACTGGGTGACATCTCCTGAGATCAGACTCATTCAGAAGGCAGCTGCTGGTACCCACGTGCACACACAGAGACACACACATGTAGACGAGTTGATCTGAATCAGTTTTTGCAAACTATTTTAATTAAAATATTAAACTCATTGGAATAGTCCAGGTCTGCACATGATATACATGTAAAAATGGTTACTACACAACTCTCCTGAATACAAAAAAGCCAATATGGGATAGACATCGTTGGGTCCAGCATTCAGTCATGCTTTACATTACACAAACAAGATGGTCTGAGGGAACTCGGTTGAAGTAGCCCAGTTTAAGCCAGAGACTTTGACCAAATTCAAACCATAACAGAAGCAAAAGAATGAAACGACTCAGTGTGTAAGTACAGCCTCCCCATCACCGCCGCCGCTGCTTGGGGCTCTGAAGCACTCCACATTAGCACCATGCTCTGGACCTGCTCTCCGCACCGGCAAGGGGGTCAATTCCAACACAGGTGGCTTCTTTTTGGCTTTCAATTTCAATTTGAAAAAAACCCTCCAGGAAAATGCAGAGGATTTTCCTTATTAGTTCGGTTTAATTTGAGTGTTTTAAATGCAAAAGAATGGCCAGGAAGGCCCATTCCACACAGAGATGTAGAGCCGGAAGGCTTGGGATGACACCTAGCCATCACAGAAGTACACACGACCTAGAGGGCGGCTAAAAAGGCATTTCCTGCTGCAGGACCCCCGCCGCACCCTAAACTTCTGTGCACTGTTAATACTACAGGACCCCAGTTAAGGCGTTAATCTGAAGCCTGGCTTGGTAAGTCTTCATCTCTGTTCAGTGATATGCTGTAGTGAGACACTGTCAGTCCCGTAGCTTGGATTCCCCAGAGGCGGGCTGAGAGCTACGGGTCTGGAGTGGATCTGAATTTAGCTCATGAAAGAACATCGCCCCGTCGAGAAACCCGAACAGCAGCGAGATGCTAGAGTTTTCTCTATATAAATATGTCACGTGGACAAACACATTCTGCAAACCTTGCTTTTGAGCCCTATAAACATATTAAAGGCAAATCCTAGAGTTAGCAGCTAGTGTTTTCTTCAAGATGATTAGTCTGTAAGGAAAGTCATTTACAAAGAGCTCCGGCTGGGCGGGCCCCAGGAAGGAGACCCTCTGCCCTCGAGCCAAAACTTCGCCTACCTGCTCTTCTCGCCACCCCACGGCGCTGACTGGCCCAGACCTCCCTGGCGTTGGCACTAGGACACCTCTGACTCCCAGCACTGAGGGATGAGACTTGGCCACAAAAATCATTCTGTGTCTGCATAGACTCCCTGACCTTTTCCCATGGTCTTCCCCAGCCTCCTTCGCTCCCTTTCAGTAGTACAGCAGCTCTGCCGAGACCCTCCCGGAAGTAGTGCCTCCGATGCGCGGTGACATGCTGCCGAATGATCACAACGTTTCAACGGACTGTCACGTGGAAGAGCATTGCAGCAACCAAAATAACAGAAAGGAGCCTGACATGCAGCAAGATCTACAGTGGTGATGTGGGTTAGTCAGCAGCTGGCAGAGTCGTTGGCTCAGGTCCTCCCGGTACACTATGGCAACTAAACATTTAAACAGTTGGCTACACTCTACATGTAAACAGGAAACTGCGAGAAGCCCAAGGTAATAAATCGGTGATGTAGTGTAGTAATGGAAACCCCGATCAATGGCATTTTGCGACTATGGCATCGTTCAGAATACCTCTGGCATTTCAGCCTGACCGGCTGTTGAGTCTAACATTTCTGAAGAACAGAGCAAAAGGACTACTTAGGGCTCCAGGAATTATTCTGGTGCTTAGCTAAGATGAGATGTCACAGTATTACCCATGCGAGTGCCTTCCTTATGCTCTTCTGCCCCACTTCTCCTCCCAGCACAAGGCAGCTACCGCTGGCAGAGGCAGGGGAGCGCGGAGACGCGGGGTCCGGCCCTTGCCTCCTGGCTGCGGCTACCAGGAAAAGGGCCCGTGCCCTCTGCGGGAGAAAGCTCTCTTCTTAATGCAAGAGGGGCCGGGTGCTGGGGTGGAAAGGGTCCCATCAGACCCTGGCACCTCAGCAGACAAAGCCACTCAGCCTCTCCTCTCCCATCTCTTGCTCACCTACAAGTCCTTTAATGCCTCCCTCTCCTCTTGGGCAACACCTGGAAATGAGGCCAATTTACTGACAAATAAAAACGGGGCAAGGTATTCAGCCGCTCCACCCCCGAAGCTCCCAGCTCGCCGAGCCGGCTCCCCGGGTGCAGCCAGACACTGGCAAAGGCTCCAGCTCCTCCTCTGCCCCGTTTGGGTCGGGGTGACCCAGGCCGCCAGAGGCCCTCCTGCAGGGTGTTTAGGAGAGTCCCCGCCAACCCCTCTGCCTAGTTGCATATATTTCTCGGGCCCCCTCCCGTGTTCCCCCCAGTAGAAATGAACCCCCCAGCCCCTGCAGCCAAATACTATGACATCCCAGTTAGTAAACACGAAACGTAATGCTTTACAAAATGAATACAAGATTCCGTGTGCGCCCAGCTCCCCCCCCGGCAGTGCCGCACAGAGGAGGCTGCGGGGGTGGTGTCTGTAGGCAGTTTCTCTTGGCAGACAGCTCCAGTGGAATTGCCACCCTCAGTTACTGTTGAAGTTATGTATAAGACATGTGTGAACCATTGGATATTTGTGAAGTAACACTTGTGCTCCTGCTCATGCCCTGCTCCGTCCGTCCCCCGGAGGCCGTCCGCCTCAGAGCCTGGGGGCTGTTGCGGACCCCTATCGCGCTACCTCGAGGGACCCCTTGCATGGGCCCCGAGGGGTGACCCCATGGCTGGGGTCCACCTTGCATTGGATGGCCCCAAGCTTGCGGTGGGCCACCCATGGGATGACCCCAATGAGGTCCCGCACCCCCCGTCGGATTGTGGGACCAGCCAGAAGCTCCCGGGTAGCTGTGGCTGAATGCCTCGGGGGAGAGGTTAGAAAGGACCATGTTACTAAAACCTAGCCTCATGCTCTCCGAGTCGAAGGCTTCGATCTCGCGGGCTTGCCGCTCCAGCAGGCTCCGTATCCGCTCGGTGCGCTCGTTCTGCAGCGCCAGCATCTCCTCCTCGATCTGGGGAAGCAAAAGGAAGAGGCAGTTGGTGGCAGCGGGACTCATCACCTCACTTTGCGGCGTGTGCATGGTCGTAAACCCGCAGCATGCAGACACGGACAAGCAGGGCCAAAGTGCATGGTTCAAGGATGTCTCTTCCTCCTCTGTGGTTCTGTTGCTCACTTAGTAGCAAACTTCCTTAACACACCTCTAAATGTACCAGGGTGGGGGGTGATGCTGCCAGGATGCTGGAAAGGAAGCCAGAACAGCTCCAACTGATCCATGTCACTGTGGGAGGGGACGCATAGGCCTAGAGATGGCACAGGGCCTGGTGGACACGCTAATATTACCAACTCTAAAACTGTGGAAACTGGCAACTCAGGCAGCCCCTGGCATGTACAGCCCAGGTCATGACTGGCACCAAGCAAGCACACAGCATGAGTGTGTCATTGCCATACAAGCTCTATATTGCCAGCACTTTACAAACTGCCTGCTGAAGGGGCTGGCTCTGCATGCCCTGCCTTAGTCTGAGTCAGGCATGCTTGGTGAAGGGCACCATCCTAACATAAGCAGCTCCTTGCTGGGAGGATCACAAGTCTTGCGTGCATCTTAGATCTCACTGCACTGTAGTCCTGGCTCTGCCAGACTACCACGGAGCACACATGGGCACTAGGAAGCTGGCACCAGGCTCAAAGCAGCCTTCATTCACTTTTGCTGCCCAGATCTTGGCATCGCAAGGCTCTTGATAGCCAAGAGCCAAAAGGAGAGGCCTTTTCCAATGCAGCAGCTTCCAGTCCCATTCCAGAGGGGCCACTATTCTTTCCAGTCAACTGTAACCCCACAAGCCAGCCCCAGCCTCCTTACTCAGCTCCATTTCCCTGCTGGCTGTTGACTGCAAGCACCAGGCATGCTTCTGGCATACAGACCCCTCCTCACTGAAACATGCTCACCACCTATTATTTCCCGGGGAGCTAGCAATCCTAAAGCACTGCATCACTCAGGGGTACCTAACCTGTGAGAAGCACCTGGATCACGGACTGGAGCTGGGCTGAACTTCCCACCATCATACCCGAGGCTAAAAGCAGGTTCACAGGAGCTTCCTGCCCCAGGAGGGCCCTCACCAAGTCACATGCCCAGAGCTACTTCTGCCTAAGGCACGCTCCTCCAGACCCTGGTGCAGCTTCAACAGATTCCACTTCCTCGGGTCATTTCCTGCCAGAATTTCTCGTGGTCACCACCCCACAAACTGCCCAGCGGATCTGCTCTTGCATTTGTTTGCAAGACACGTATCAGGTCATGCCACCAGGTGGCAACACGGACACAACATGGATGCCCTCCAGCCGCGCTACAAACTCTTCTACTTCCACACTGACTTTTTAAGCATCAGTGCAAGACAAGGTGACACACTAGACCCCAGGTGCCCCAACCCAAAGCCCCTCCTGGAACATCAGCAGGCTTCTTCCTGTCTGGAGATTCAGCCGCCTGAAAAAGCCCCCTGAGGAGAAAAGGAAGGCACAGCTTTCCTAGACTGCTCTGTCTAGGCTTACTCTGCCCAGTGTGCTTTCCTAGCTGAACACGCACCTGCTGGCCTCTGCGAGAAGCAAGCAAAAGGGACCTGGAGGGGCCAAAGTAACTGCCCCGATTTAAGGACTGCTGGTGACACACTCAAGAGCACTGCAGGAGCTGGCACAGAACCGGTGCTGGCCCAGGAGCCATGTTGCAGTGCCTGCATTTTGAGGCAAGTCATACAAGCAAGTCTGCATCAAGTCCTGGGGCCGGGCCTGGCTGCTCCAGCGTGCCAAGGGGTCAGGTCTTAACTATCACTTCCGCTGGACGGCCGCATGATTTGAATCAACACTGTTCTGTGGGGAAATGGCAGCTGGGGCTCCTTAGGTAAATCTTTCTGTCCAGGTCTCCACACTACTCTGCCCTTCCCACAGAAACTCTCCTTCAGTGCACCGTGCCCTATGCAGAGCTGGGAGACACCGGGCAGCCCGTGCAAGGAGAGGATGTTCTGCCTCCTCTCCCACCCCGAGTCATCACTATAGCAAGCTTCCCTCCAGCAGGGAAAGGGCAAGCACAAAGTGAAGCACTGACCCATTTCTCCATTAGGGCAAGTGTGTTGTGCTTACAACCCAGGACAGTGGACAACGTTAAGGGGGCTCCTGTCAGCAGCCCGCTGGCCCTGCCCCCTCCCTACCTTCTGCTCCAGGAGGGCCCTGCGGAGGGACACCCTCTGCTCAAGCTCACGCAGCTCCCGGTCGTGTTGGGCCTCGGCCTGCATCTTGATTTTACTCTGATACGCATTCAGCAGCTCCAGTTCCTGCTGCAGCTGCATCTTCAAAACCTGGCACTCTGCTTCCTGCGCCTCGTCCAGACGCAGCTGTGGAAGGAAGACAATAGAGACGTTTCACTGGGGGGCAGCCTCTCCTGACACACTCTACGGGGCAAAGGGCCATTTGTTTTCTTAGCCACACAATTGCTCTCTCTTGTATTTAGTTTCACGGAACAGAGAGCCCACAGTGACAAACACTGGTGGCAGCAAGATAGCCATGCTGCTGCAAGTGACACTACAGACCGGCATCTGAGAAACTCTGGCTCATTACAGGGATGGCGGGGTAGCCGGTACTAAGACTTATCGCCCTCTCCTTTGCCAGAGAACCTAGGGGAAAAAAAAGTCTCCTGTGTTGCATTTGTTTGACTACTGGGGTGCTGATGTCCAATGTGGATTTGCTCTGTTCGCATGGAATCGGAGGTGGAGAAAGGACTTGAGTCCAGTGTAGTCACCTGAACAACTAACCCCATCCCTGGGGTTCACTGAGCATGCACTAAGGTGGTACTACCCAGCTCCAGGCTGCCGTACCTGGGCACAGAGCAAGAAGGGCATGTGAGGCCCTGCAGAGGAATGGCAATGCAGCTACTGCAGGTACCCACCCCATGGCTCAGTGTAGGGTCAGGCAGCAAAATGGAATTTCCCAGCCTTGCCATGCTAGTTTTAGTGTCTTTAAACTCTTCTGTGCTGACAGCCCCGTGCAGCGCTCTCAGAAGCTGGAGCTGCTCTGGCAGGCAGAAGCATGAGCTCAAAACCCAAATCCCCAGGCTGGGAGCCAGAGAGCGGGGCTGCCCAGGGAGCCTCTGAATGCTCAGCTGCCGCACCAGGTGCAAAAGCACCTGTGGGATCAACACAGATTTCCATCTGGCCCCATCACAGTGACCCTAGCCTGGCAGCAAGCACTTTCCTGGCCTCTACGGTGCTTCTGGGAGGCGGGCACAAGCGCGCCTGGTCTCTGAACCCCGATACCACATGTGGGGCCAGGAGGAGCCAGCCCTGCTGTCAGAGCATCTCTGGGTCACATACTGCAAGCTGCTGCCTTTGGCCAGGGGGGCCGCAGGGTCTGGGAGGCAACTCACAGCTTGTGTTGAGAGCATTTCATTAATGCTGTGATCGTACTGCTCGGCGAGGATGGCCAGCTTGCGCGTCTGCTCCTCCTTGAGCCGTTTCAGCACCGCTTTGTGCTCGCTCTTTGGCGTGGTCTCCAGCAGGTGGTTTCTCAAGGCTTTGTACTGCCGGGTCTGGATTTTGCACGTGTCCTGGAACTGCTTCTTGATCTGCAGCTCTTTGGACTAGAGATAGGAAAAGACCCAGAGTGTTTTACCATACTGAGTACCATACGGATGGGCCTAAGTTCAAGAATTCACAGCTGGACACGAGCATTTAAGGTCTGAGGAGGAAAGTGATAAACCACCCAAGAGGCAAGGACCAGGCTACTGCAGCTGCTCTGACACTTTGCTCCTATGAGGAACAATGAGAATACAGGCCCCTCTGTCACAAAGCTCCAGCCTAAATACAGCTGTCTCTACACAAAGGGCTCCACTTGCTGCTGGACTGGATCCAGTCCTGAGTGTTGCTTTTCAAGACGACTTCTTGAGGGGTAGGAGTAATGCTTATGAGCAGTGAGGGCCGTACTTCAACATGGCTGAGCCTGCATAGTTAGAAACACTATGCATTCAATGTTACAAAGTCAAAAAGAAGCAGAATTAGGAACACACAAGGAAGAAGAATTAAATTCTTGTTTTCTGGATCTGGTGAAGGAGATCAGAGCAAAAGACAGATCTCCTTCCAGATCTGGCAAAGGAGAGTGTAGCTGAACTACCCGTGCCTTTCAGGAACACAGCATCTCAGCCCCACCCTGAGGGGCCTCAGTTTGACTGGTGAACCCATCCTGTACAACAGCATCACTGTTCACCCTCATGCAAAACAGCCCTTGGGGCAGTGGCAGGAGATGTGATGTTCTCCCTGTTCTCTTCCTTTGCACCTGCCCACACAACCACGCTGTCAAAGTGGGACAAAGTGACTACAACCCCAGACTGGGGGTCATTGGGTGCCTGGATTTCCTACCGACCTGCTGTGTGACCTTGGGTCAGTGACTCCTCTCTAGAGCCATTTCCTCACCTGGTTAATTCCTAGGTACCTTGCACAGGACTTGTGCTCCGAGATCTCGAGAAGGAAGGGGCTCCAGAAACACCAAGGTGGAGGGACAGTTTCCCAAGGACAGGCTGTCTAGGCAAAGCAGGAATAGCAGCGACAGACCCCAGTGTACATCTACAAGGCCCAATGCAGCGCTGAGTTGGCTCGGGCACCAGAAGACATGTAGCCACGTCAGCATGGTGCCATCAAAGCTAACGAGCTCTGCCGTGGCTATCCTGCTTCTGAACAGGCTAGCTTGGGGACCTCTGCACCACATCCTGTGCTCTTCTACCAAGCAGTATTTGCTCTTGGGAGACAAGATTAGCCCCAGAAACACTCCAACAGAGGAACACAAGGGAACAACTCAGCCTGTATGACCCATGGCACTAAGCCGGGACCTCATGGCAAGCCCTACATGGTCTGAAATTTGAGCGTCCAGGCGCTCCCGGCCACAGAATGGCCTCATGCACCTTGCTCCAGGGAGGAACTCCACCACCTGGACTGGAGACACGGCTGCCTGCGAGCTGACCTCCCACGACTTATGACACCAGGACTGGTCGCACTGGCCGGATGATAACCCTAGCGTGTGCAGGCCCAGCACTCAAACCCAGTCTTACTTCCCCTAAACACTTCATCACCAGCAAGTCGGTTTTCAAAGAATAGTGTGATTCCCCGGGGCAGGCCCTGGCGACGGCTCATTCCATTCAGCTACTGCATCTATCACAGAGGCAGGACACCACTTTTACCATTTCTGAGTTAGCAGAAAGCAATTTCCCCACCGGAAAGCCTTGAAGGCTGTTCTCCAACCCCCCCTCTCCAAAGGGAAGCGTCTGCAGGGTCTGCTCTCCTATCAAAGGCTGGGCTATGGCCGGGGACTAACAATGCAGTTTGTCCTCCCTTTCTGTGAAGTTTCAGTCCGGCACCGGGCTCTGTTTACAACTTTCCAACCAAAAGGCTTTAACAACAGGAAACAGAAGGGAGGGGTCAGGCTTCCAGGCAGACTCCTGACAAGATCATTTTGGTGGAGTCTTGTGAAAGAGGGTATTTGCATCACAGTCGAACCACTCCAAATAAGAAAAATCAGAATCATAGGTCTGGAAGGGACCCCGAAGGACCCGAAGGATCATCGGGTCCAGCCCGCTGCATAAGTAGGAAAGACATCTGGGGTCAGACGACCCCAACCAGGTGACCCTCCAGTCTTCTCTTGAAGAAGGGCAGTTTTCATTGAAGGGGGACCTCTAGATGCTGTTACTTCTGGACTGTGCCCAGCACAGGAGGCCTCTGACACCGGGATGCACTGCTGGAGAGATGCGGGAGCACAGCTGCCACTAGCAAAGCATTCGCCTGCACTGTTCAGAAGTACGGGAAGCTTTAAGGTTCCTGGAACAAGGGCACTGTGCTGCAGGGCTGTGACTGGAGCCTGCAGTTAGTGCTGTGCTTATGGAAATGCAGGGCTAGGAAAAGGGGCTGGGGGTTCATGGCTCTGATCTGAAGTCCCTTGTTAGGGTAGTGCAGTGCAGGCAGCAGTGCATGCTCCCTTGCCCCGAGACGGCCAACCGGCCAAGGCGGGTCGGTCTCTGGGACCCTGTCAGCCCTCTGCCCTCCCTGCTCTAGCTGGGAAGGCGAGCATGGTACGGGGCACATTGCCACTTGCACCTGGATCGCATCGTCGGGCAGGCTTCATTCATGCTGATCTCAGGAGGATTGGCCTAATACGGCTGCTTCAGTATGATTCAGCTCAGAGCACGATACAGCTTCCCTGTGAATCACCAGCTATTTATACCCTATATCCTTGGAGATTCTGACCCGCGATCGAACGGTCCCCAGCACCCCCGAGCCAGCTCTCTGCTTTAAAATCATGCTAATATTGACAAATGACAGTTTTGCCGCAGAAGTACTGGTCTCAGGCTGGTTATTTCCCAGGCAATGTCTGCCAAGGAGATCACCTGCAGGTCGTACGAACCAAGTCAGGCAGGCAAGCCGCGACTTGGGGAGTCCTAGAACAATAAAGAAACCCTGCGCTCGGTACGCCACACGGCTCTTTCTATTATGGGCACGGCAGAGCGCTGGGACAGGAGGAGAAGCCTGCCTCCCCCTCAAGGGGAACAGAGCAGGCGGCTCTGGGAAGGGCCTCATACTCCATTCTGCAGGCACTTCACACCCGACAGCCGCACTTCTCTGGACAGAGAGAAGGGCCTATACTGGAAGCACCAAAAGTCTTAGCTCTGAAGCAAAGCAGGTCTGCTCCGATACCCCCATGCTGCCTGCAGGACGAGTGCCTGAGGAGACCACAGCACGACATGGGGCAGCCTCAGGGTCCTCTTTCCAAGGCTACAGCAACAGGTAAAAACTCCTTTCCAGCCCTTGCTCGCCTGCCGATATTTATGCACCATCCACCCTCTGGGCAAGCTCGTGCACTTGACTTCCATGTGGAACAGCAGTATGGAAGCTTTGCTGGGAATGCTGATGCCTGACAGAAGGATGGCCTGGCTCCTCTCATGGGAGGGTGAGGAGGAGAGATGGGGGAAAGCCTCTTAAATAGAATTTAAAATCCAATTTCTCAAAAATTTTGACTACTCAAAAGGGAAGACGCAGCTGTTGCTGCTGTGTTACCCGAGAGCATTCCCTTAAACAAGGGAAGGCTGGGGAACAGGCAGAGCTAGGGCCCTCCCTGTAACACAACCACCGCCCAGGAAAGGGATCCAGCTACCCCCAAACATGCCAATGAAAAGGATCTTAGCCACACTCCACTGCTGACATGGCTCTATGGATGTCCCTGGCCTTTCAAAAAACAAACACCAAGGGCCTGATCTGCAGTCAGTGTGCCTGGCACAGCTCCACCAAAGCCAATGCAGTGGAGGCCAGTCTACCCAGGCAGGGATCTATCGACAAATCCTCTTCTCAAAAGCGTTACCATCTTAATGAAGGCAAGTGGAAGGGACGGTGATGGAATCAGGGGAAGGCTGGGCAGGCAGGAGGGTGAAGACAAAAATCACACAGGCACTTGGGTGAATAGCACAGGCGTCACGATGAGCTGCTTTCTCAGCTTAAGGTATACGAGAGACAGCCATAAGCCTGCTGAAGACCTGGGCAGCAGCACATGGTAGGGTGAGGAGAGGATGGTGTGGGGGGAAAGGTTCAATAAGGGACACAGCATCATTTTGTAGCGTGGCCCTGTGATTAGCTGTCACTGCAGTACAGCCAGTCGCCATGCACTGAGCTATGCCTTAGATCTCTGAGCCAGAGACTGACAACCCCGCTTCCCTGCCTGGGCTGTGCGTGGCCACCACACCTACCTTCAGGCTCTTGGGCTGCTGCCTGACCTCCATGACATGCTTGCGCCGCAGCTCCCTCTCGCGCCGCTTGTTGTACTCCAGCTGGTTGGTGAGCTCGGTCTGGTGCTGCAGGCGGATCAGCTCGCAGCGCATCTTCTGGATGGTGTTGAGGTGGCGGAACTCCAGCTCCTGCATGGATTCGTGTTGGCGCAGCAGCATGGCATGCTCCAGGTCCTTCTGCGTCTGCCTCTTGTTCAGCTCCTGAGCCAGGGAGAGACAGCAGGTGGCTACAGGTCCTGCGCACGCTCTGTGGCTGGGGGCAGACCCAACTCACTGCCAGTGGGTACTAGACCCAACCTGGCAAAGGCCCCTTATTTCTGCGCCCCTGGCCTTTCGCTTTCTCCCCAATCAAACCCTCCTGACACAATGCCCCTCCTGAGCAAGTGTTTGCTAGTGAGAAGCCCCTCACTTGGCTTGCTGGACCTGCCAAATGAGATTATCTGCTCTGCTGGATATTGTGCATTGCCACCTCCTGTGCCATGTGCAGGACCCCAGCAATGCCAGAGGTGCCCCAGCCGGCTCGTGTGGGGCTGCCATGGTTACAGCTTCTGCCCTGCTGCTGCCCCTCTTACCTCCCGAACAAGGTCCTGCTCCAGGTTGTGGCGCCCAAGAAGCATTCTTCGCTTGAAGCGGCGGCACTCTAGCTCCAGGTATTGCCGCTGGCGGCGCAGTAGGTTAGCCTCCTCCTCTGCCTGGAAATGCTGGATGTTCTCCTTCTGCTTGGAGAGCCACTCCTGCTTCTCCTTCTTCGGGGTGCTCTGGTTCTCATTCAGCTCCTGCAACATCAGGACAGGGATTTCACGGCCATCCAGCTAACCTCCTCGACTCCAAGCAGCTGGGCGATACTGCCTGGTGAACTGCAGCTTCGCCTTCCCTCCCACGCTTGGGTTCAACTTACTTAAGAGTCTGTCCCCTTTCCCTTGGCCTCAAGAACACTACGTTTTCCCACCGATTTTGCATTTTCCAATTGATGATGCACTGCCACTTACCAACTCCCATTTACCAGGCCTCTACAGGAGGGAAGGTTTCCATCTCATTCAAAGGATATTTTTAACAACAGTTGCCAATTCGGCACCTATGCTCCCCTAAGGAATGTCATCTTTGGTTCCACCAGACAAAGATTCCTACCCACCACAGCTCTGCCCTGCCTCCCTTGACCCCACTGCTTGCTGGGCCTCTCTCTCCCATGGGAGTCTTCCCCTTGGCATTTGTTAGCATTGATTCCAAAGCCGAGTCCCAGGCGTGGCGGACTTTTCAAACTCTGCTTCTGATGGCAGAGATATCAGTCTGTCTGCAAAAAGAACCAGCAGGATGTGCCTGCAGCTCCTCTGGATGTGACTATGATGATATTCAGAACAATACAATCGTTACGTTACTAAACAGCTTCTCCTGCTATTTCTGCTGCCTTCCAAATGCATATTTTAACAAACCTTCTGCAGGTCACTGCCGCTGCTCTACTCCCTTGATTATCTACTGTAGAGGCATCACCCAGAAATGAAAAATTTCACTAATTATAGTGGTTATGGCCTGCATACAAGGGGTCCAGCTACACAATCTGATCAATATGCTGCTTTTTATTCCAGCAACAGGACATGTTTCCCCCAAACTACTCTCTTTCAGTTCTTAAGATCCTTAAGTCTTGGCCAGCCCAGAACCGCAAACCATATCAAATAAAAGAGAAATCTGTACTTCCAGTGAGCTACCTGAATGCCAATGTAAACCCATTTGCTCTTGTTCTAAGATCAAGTTTATAAACGGTCTAAGTGATGTCTTTCAGGAAGGTGTTATGTGATGCCTGAATCACAACACCGAACTCGTCATGCTCCAATGACATGTATTCCATAGCTTAATGGCATCCCTGAAGTCTAGGAGTCGAGTCTGCTGGTACAATACATGGTACAAGCCATGATGTTAGCATAATTAATCCCTGATTGTTATTGTAACACGGGATTTTACCTCTTTGAGCTGCTCTTTGCGGAGCTTGTATTCTCTCTTCTGTGATTCCAGGAAGCTGTTCAGTTCCTTCTTCTGTTGGGCCTGAATGTGTTGTTGAAACTTCTTCTCTTCATTAGCCATCACTTTGGCCTACACCAATTCCAAGATAAAAGCAAAGGTGTGTGTGAGACTCACTGAATTTTAACTGATCTCCATTTCCACTTCAGCCCACCTGCTCCATGTCTCACTTTATGCTTTCGATGTAATACTTACTATGCCTTTCAAGGACCCAAGCTGCTTTCACACACTCATTTCTCCGTCGTCCCCCCCACTCCAACCAAGGAAGGCACCAAATGATAATCCTTGCTCAGTGCTACATCACCTTAACTCTAAGTTTTAAGCTCTTCCCGATTAAAGTCAACGCCTAATTGCAGAGAAAGCCTTTAGGCAGCTCCAGCAAAGGACCAAAGCTAAGAGTAGCCAAAGAATCCTGCCCACTGATCTCTGACAGGGGCACTGGTTCGCCACCGTTTATTAAACTTAAGCATATTCACCAGCAGATGGAAGGATGAAGAGTCTAAGCACAGCTGGCACATTGCTGTGCAGGTCTATCCGTCTCAATCACAACTCCCGACAGGAGTCATATAAGGCAAGAGCAATACCCTAACTACCTGGATTCCTGGTCTTTTCTGAAGAAAGCATTTGATTAATTCACTGTGTTAAAACTCACATAAAAGCAAGACAATGGAGGATAAAGACAACAGAAAGGAAAATCCTTGCTGGAGTTTTTCACGGGCTTGGTTTGCTAAGAGTTGGCAAAATGCACTGAGATGCAGGACATACCTTTCCTCTAGTTACATAAGCCCCTTAGTGTAAGGAGGTGATGCATTAGCCTCTCTCTAATTATCAGTTTGCTTGGCTTCTGAAAATAGATGCGTAAGAGACTCCAATGTCATTTCTTCGCCAGCGAGGGTGGCGGACAGTTCAATAGAATCAACGAACGCGGACCAGTCAGCTGAATCTTAGCTTCTTACCTCCTTCTCCATGGCTGCTTGGTGCTTTTTAATTAGCTTTTCCATTTCTGCAGCAAAGTTGTTGCGCTGTGTTTCAAGATCTTTGTCCAACCTGAGGCGATGCTCATCCATCTCTGCCTTCAGTTTGTTCTCCAGTGCCATCAGCTGTTTCTGGTGCTGCCGTCTCATGCGTTTATAGCCAGACATCTGCTCTCGGAGCTCAGAGTCCTGTTCGTGTTCCTGCATTTGCCTTGTCACCTAGTCAGACAACCACAGCAGGATAAAAATAAGGTAATGCCTCTTAGTCTGCTTTTCACCCTTCTTTAAACTCCACAAGAACGTGATGCCATCACGAAAGAGGAGCACAAGTTCTAATGGCAGCAGACCACATAAATACTGACTTGGCTAGGAGAAAATCAAGTGCTCAGTTGCTTTTTTTTTTTGTTTTTTAACTTCATTCTGTTTTCAGTAGTATTTTTTTTCTGCAGAGAGACATTACAGAGATGGAAGGTAGAACCCTACACAGCTGGCAAAAGTCACTTTGTTTTCCCTCTCAATTTAGGTGGGTCTTGCAGAAATAGCTGTCATTTCAGCCAGGGAGGAGATGACTAGGCACAAAGGCTAGTCTCGCTATGAAGGCCTTAATGACCTTTTATCAATCTGACCCCATTTTTGGATAGTGCTCTTAGCATCTCCAAAAGCAGAGGGCACAGAGATGACATCCCAACTGTATTCAGCACTGATGCTTATGTTGGAAGACTAAAAGTCGAGCCGTTAAGGTCGTCTGTGTCTATCTAGGAAAGTTAAGGACAGTCATCAGGTTCTATTATTGGCTGGTAACACTTCTAGATGCGCTCTTGCGTTCTGGATGATCTAGAGCAGCACTTCTCAACCTGTGGGTCGCGACCCAAAAGCAGGTCTCGCAAGAACGAATATATGAAAAGGTCACAATCAAGCTTTAAAAAAGGATCAACAAACTTAAAAAATGGATTCTCCTGTTTGCACCACGCAGTTCTAAATGATTTCCTGCTGTACAATGCCTATGTTCTCCCAGGCATGCTATTTTTGAAAAAAGAGGCTCTGCACCAAATAATACCTGCCATTAGCTATTGGTGAACGTTATTAAGATATATCTGACTATTTTGGTGCTAACAATTTTGAGTTTATGGCAATGGTTCATATTCTGATAAAATCCTAATATTACTTGCTACTTGTAAAGCCAAACATTCAAATGAAACCTGCTCATATCATTTAAGCGATGGAAAAAGCAAAACCTACCAGGGATGCTGTGCGTATAGTAGCAAAGTGCTCTCGATTGCGGTAATGCGACTTGTGGCGGGATACTTGGGGTGGAGATTGAGGCTCCGTCGCTCTTGTTCTAGGATCCGACTCTTCTCTGTAGTTTTCTTCCTCCTTAGCAATGCAAAAACAAATCAGCAATAGAGGGAATATAGAGCATCTCTGTTACTCAGAGATTGTTCTTGGTCCATTTAAAGATATCCTTAACAAAATAAAAGTCAAAGTATCATCACCCTTGTAACCAACAGGCCAGGTGAAGGTATACAGCCATCAACAGGGACGATGACCTTGGAACTTAGGGTCCTCCAGAGGTGGTGCAATCACCTACCCTAGAAATCTTCAAGAGGAGGCTGGACAGTCACCTTGCTGGGGTCACTTGACCCCAGTTGTCTTCCTGCCTAGTGCAGGGGAGCTGGACACAATTATCTTACGAGGTCCCTTCCAGCCCTTACAATCTATAAATCTATGATCCTGAAATGTCATACGACTATAGGAAAGTAGGGCTGGAAGGGAGGTCATCTAGTCCAGCCCCCTGCTCAAGGCAGGATCAGCCCCAACTAAACCATCCCAGCCAAGTGTCCGTCTCACCGGCTCTTGAACATTTCCTGGGATGGAGATTACAGTTTATAATGTTAGTGTTGACAAGACAGTGATGGTTTACCAGGGCAAGAGTAGGGGGGACATAAAGAGAAATAGATTAGGATGTTTAACAGGGCACTTCCACCCAGCGTACTACAATGTAGATAAAGTCTTTTCCCCAGGACAAGCGTGCTCTTTGCAACCAGGCGAGATCATGAGGTTAATTTTACTTGTTGCAGAGACACACTGGAGAAAGCAAACTTTTAATTTGCAACCGCACATTCCAGATCCTCATTCTGAATCTGTGATTCATTGTGAGGCAACCGGTAATTAAGTATGTTATACGCTAACTGAGGAAAGGCACGTCTCTTTGTTCCACATCTGATTAGAGGGGAAAAAAATAAATCAGGGCCACTCCCACCATTAGCTCTGAAAATGTTATTGGTCTGAAAAGCGTATCACAACCCCTGTGTAGTAAGAGCAGCATGGTTCAGAGAGAGACTCTGTTGAGAGACTTGTGGGTCCAAGGTAAGCAGAGGAAGTGGTTTCACAGCATGCCACGCTCAGAATGCTGCATTTCTTTCTCTGTGTATCTTGGTTCATTAACTGAATATTCAGTCAAGTCGTGGGAAGCAGGGTGGGTCAGGCACAGTTCTCCATCACTGCTGTGGGTCTAGCAAGGCAGCAAAAAGGAAAAACACTTGCAGGTTTTGCCTTGTGAAACAATGCTCAGGGCATTCGCTAAACAAACCAGCTCCCAAGTGGCAAGCCTCCAACCCTGGTGGCAAGGCAAACTGCTTTGGAAACAATTTAAGTGGCACAAAAATTGCTACAAAGCCAATTCAAGAAAAACATATGGGATTTGTTTTTAAAAAGCTTTGCACCAGCCTTGCGGAGAGGGCACAGGTCAGATGCATGTTCATCCCCCGGCCTCATGGTTTAAAATCGGGACTTCTACACAGAGAGATGAGAAGCATGGATTTGTTCCTCTTTTAAAACTGAAACAAAACCTTCGTCCGCTATACTGTTCATGCCCACCAACCTCCTGGTCAGTAGGCAACTGCCTCCCTTTCTAGCTCCTGCTAGAAAGCTAGCACTCACCGGCTTCAAGTGGATGACAGAGCTATTTGACATCACGGTGTGGTCCCCTTCCATCATATCTAGCTCGCTCTTATCATCCGAGGCATCTGGAAGACTGTTAACACTACTACTTTGGCTACTGGCACTGATAGACATACTGGGAATGGACTGATTGCTTCCAACACTATTCACTGTTCCTGTCCTGCCGACGCCGTGGTCTTGTTCCTGGGAAGTGGGGAAGGGGAAAGGCCCGGTTACTGTTTTGACAATACAGCCATCTATCACGGTAGTGAAGTTATGGATCTTGACAGACAGCTCGTGAACGCTGATCCTTAATCGAGCAACCACTGGATGAGTCACGGCAGCTTCTTACCCTTCAGGCCAGCCGATGTCAGACTTTTTGGGAAGGGGCATGCTACCAAGCTAAACTCTACTGTGAGCCAGCCCCGCTCTGCCACCAATGCCTGTTGTGACAGCAGGATGGACAGCGCACTGCTGAGCCTCTTACCCTGAACTTACTTCCCTCTGGGTGAGAGTAGTTGGGCTGACTCTTAACAGTTCAACAGGCCCCTGTTCCTGAGCTGGTAGCTGCATCATGTGCTCCAAAAATTAAGCACCCATTTTTTCAGTCAAGTAAATTTGTGGCTGTTACAATTGGAAGGAAAACCTTCAAAATACAAATGAGACATAAGGCTGGTTTGCTGGCTGCCAGCGGCCTACAGTACGCCACACTCAGCCCTCGGTGAGGGTGCACCGGTACAAAACCCTCAACGCCAGCATTTGCACAGGCTGCCCACTCAAGCAGGAACACCACCCTGCAGTTTTCCTGGCCTGTTGTAGGGGTTTGCCCAGTTCAAACTGCATCAGATGAAATATGGGCTAGTCTCAAGTGTAGACGGGGAGGATCTTCAGGCAGCCTGGAGCACTTGCTCGGAGTGACATGAACAGCCTCCATTCATCTCAAGTTAACTCCAAAGCCTAATTAGGATCACTTGAAGGGTGGCATTGTTAACTATCCCAGTACCACAATGTGAGGTTCCCTTGAGCTCTTACCTCCTCCTCTTCCTGTGCTTCGACCGCAGGTCCATTGTGTGCCTCCTGGAAGAGGAGTTTCTTCATTTTACGATACTGTAGATTGTCCAGTTCTCTCACTGCATCCTTTGTTCTCTGAATCAAGTCTATTAACACTGTTTCAGGGCGCTCCCGAAGAACAAACATGTGCTGTAGGACACACAAACAGGTGACTGACATTTCCTACCTCCCGTGCACGTGCTCTGCTAGATGCTACCCTTATGAACTCTGGGCATGTGTCTGTTACTCTTCCTCCCTAAACAGGTACTATAATATTACCATAGGTTATGTTCTTATCTCATCAGACCTCATCAGTCCATACTTTGATGGGTGACATCCACAGACACCCAATGTGTTGCAGGAAGTGGTATTTGTGAGTAGGCCTTGGGCAGAGTAGGGAAAAGGGTTTTTTTGTTTAAAATAAATAAATAAATACATAAAATAATCGAAGTGAGTTATTAAGTCCTGTCTCTGCTGGGTGCAGGTACCTTTAAAAACACCTCAGATGGTCACAGTCAAACAAAGGGAAGTCACAAAATAGTGTGTACGGTTGTAAAGATGGTAAACCTTGCCTCTGCTGGGTGCTGACTGATGGTTAAAATCTTGTAAGCTATTTTTTTTTTTTAACAGTCTTTCTCCAAGTCTAGACAAGGCCTAGCTCAGCATATGACTTTCTGGTGCAACATAAAAGAGGTCTTGGGCACTTCCAGCTCCCTTACTGCTGGTCCTGGAACTGCTGCCCCACAATGTCCTTGCTATAAGAAGCAATCCCTGCACCATAGGCACGTGTATTTGCTGGTAGCCTATCTGTGTGTCTGAAGGTGCTCTAGTGGCCTGTAGGACAGCATGCTACGTAAGCATGAATCATCAGTAACACAGGCATCAGCTTTATTCTCTGCCTCTGGAAGGTAGCACTGAAATTTCCAATAATTGTCACGTTCCTCTCATATCCCCGTTAGCTGGCTTACAGCTGCTGGATAGGACAGGTATGTTCATAAAACCCACGAAACATTTCATTTTCACCCTACTTCTTTTTAATTGCAGTACACTGCCAAAAATAAACCCGAGCCACAGAATTGCACAAACCCTTCAGCAGAGAATTGTGCTTACTTTTGGAATGGAAAAATCCTTGCCTGTGCAAATAAGGAAAAACATCCTGATCATTTGGGGGTTAAAACATACAAAATCCGTGCTGGCAGCACTTGTGTGGTGATAGTACAAGGTTTGGGAACATCGGTATTGAATACAAAACCTTTTGTCACCACCACCACCACCGATGAGTGCCTTAGCTTTTGCAAGGAAAATTAAAAATGAACCAGGACCAAAATCAAGTGCTACTCTGCACCACAAAGTCACATTTGTGTAAAGCAGCATCAATACCTACTCACAGAGCTTCCCATAAATATATTCCCTTAGGCATGTTTCAGCTCTTTGCAACCGTTTAAGCACACTCACTACATTCCAGCACCAGAGCAAAGGCAGTATTGGCAGCATATGGGAGAGGGAGGAAGGAAGAACGGCTAGGCTATGTGGCAGGAGGAGCTTGGCAAATAAGCGACATGCAGCCAAGTCAAGGAAAGGAACATGGGAGAGAAACAGTAGCTCTCCTCCCCCTTGTCTTGCCACGGATCACACCGGACTGGTAACTTCCAGTTCTATGTAGAGAGCACAGAGGTGTTGGGAGAGCATAAAAACCCCGCAGGGGTAAATACAGCACAGGATAAAGAGGAGAAGTAAAGAAAGGAACTTTAATAACTAATGCATGATGGCTCTGTCAGGATTAATCATAGCACCCGAAGGGGAGATAGATGGAGCTGCAGAAAGCAAGGCTCTCTGGGAGTGGACGGTCATCTTGCGCTGTTGCTAGTCACCGTGAAGATGTAGCTGGGCCAGGAAATCATCTGGCTAAGTGCATGGGAGGCTAAAAAGTAGCAGCTAGTCTAGAAGCGCTGACAAGGAGAGCACAGCGCGCACTCTACTAGCCTCTGGGTACTGGGGTAGCAGACAGAGCATTGCTTAAGCTTAGAGGAGAGCAGCAGGTGAGCAAAGGACACGCTGAAGAGCATCAGACTCCACATAACCTCGCCTGTTTAACACCAAAGGGAAAAGAGAGAACAAGAAAGCCAACCTTCAGGAGCTCCTCTGATGTAGGTCTGTCTTGAGGGATTTTTTGGAGGCAAGAATCTACGAAGTTTCGAAAATAATCAGACCTATTGCAAGAGGGAAAAACATCATCTGAAAGAACTGCCCATTGTGGTCCACTGCCTTGTCAAGGAACCAAATTATTTGCATCTGTGAGCATGCAGAACCACCCACAACCCAATCCTTCACACAGCAGCCTCCAATGTCCCTACATCCAACCAGATCCCACCGCTACCACGTAGACTATTTAATGTCAGCTGTCAAACTGGTTCAGACTAAGAGTGCACCAACACGGAGCAATTTGGGAGAGGAAGTAGCTTTATGCAGCATGCAACTCCCCATACAACCCGATGCCGCACCAAAGTGTAAAATTCGTACTGTAAAAACACCAGTTTTGTGGAGTGATTTCATTCAGCCGTGGCCCTGGGCTGGGCTCCACCTGGGGTGCTGCTCACCCCCGTCCTCCCCACTCTTCATTAACATCTCATACTGAAAATGTATCAGACTCGTCTTCCAAAATTTCCAGGGTTCTTCATGGTGTGGGGGAATTTTTCATAAGCACATATCTTTCTGGAAGGGAAACTTCTACATTTTCCTTCCCCACCATTTGAAGGTGTGGATTTTTAGAGACTTTGCTATCAAGCTAATATTACAGGACTTATGTGGGTTTTATTTCTTTCTTCCCTCTCTACCAAAAAAAAAAAAGTGTGTGTGTGTGTGTGTGGAGGGGGTATTTTTCTTCTTCCACTAATTTTTTTTGGCCAATTAATTCTAATTGGTAGGAAAGCACATAAAATAAGCTGAATTTACTGTGCAAACATGGCACAAGTAAACCTAATCGGAACATCTCTGAAGCTGAAACAGTTTAAAAAAAGCATAGTGCACTGTACTGCAATCAGTGCATCCAGGCTGTGGCTTAGCATACATACAACATTATTACCAAGTTTTTAACTTTAACGTGGACTTAATCTCTCATTGCTGTTTCAAAAAGACATTCTTCAAGGCTAGGAGGCACAAAACATGACTATTTAATAGGCTTGCAAAGTCTGTGTAACAAAGATACATACCACACTATCAGTGTCTTTGTTTTAAAAGCCAATAGTTCAACAAACCAACATTGGGGTTTTGCAAATCTCGGCTTTTCAGTTTTTGGGTTTTTTTTAAGAACCTGATTTGCTGCAGGCTTGTGGGTTTCCAACATTTACTGACGCACAACTTGAATGTATTATGGCATTCTGTGTTCGTACTACGGGTTTCTTTGGTTCCTGGAGCTGTTGTGTTGCAGACTCCAAAACACCAGCTTAGTCAACGGTCAATTTTGTGCACATAAGACATACAGTGCACAGTGCACCTATTGCAACAGCCAGCTCACATCTTCCCAACAGAAATCCAGCCATTTCAAGAACTCGGCATGACAAAGCACTCCATTTACAGCAATGCCCTACAACATTCCTCTCTCAGTAATACTCACCATTCATTAGACTGTAGTGTAGGGGATTCATTCTGCGCTATGTGATATAAGGCACTCATTGCGTTCATATTAAACAAAGGAGGCTTCCTTTCCGCTACACACAAAAAGAAAATCATTTTTATATAGGGAAACAGTCTCACAGCTTTTCCTTTCTTTATGCCTTTACCTCCCTTAAGAGAAAAACATTTTTAAAAAGGGCATCATGGCAGAATCGCAACTGCCCAGACGTGGAGCCCCAAGCCAGCAAGCACCCTGCAGTCAGATGTGCTGGCACGTGCTCCTACAGCAGTGGTTTTCCCACTGCAGAGGATGAAAGCTCTCTAAGATCAAATGCTTTGTCTTGTCAAACTTTCAGATTCTGTGGGCTGCCATCGTGGAGCTCTCCGAGCGCACTCTGAAGGACCCGAATAGGAGTATAGCAACAGCGAGGTCCACGCTCAGCATACCCCTGCTAAATGAACTTGGCCATGGTTTTTATTATAATTACTCAAGCCGAGGAGTTCTCCCGTTGCAGTAGCATGGCAGTGACGGGAAAGGCAGCTGATCATAAAAGCCACCACAGCCACGATTAACTGACTGGCCGCATATGCAAGGTGTCAGTAAGGGGCTGACTCTGCTATTCCGAGTAGGATTTTCTCTGGGCCCCCCTCAAGTGCGTTACTCTGGCTGGAAGTTTAAGGAGTAAGGAGGTGATCCCACACAAGCAGCAGCACTGAAGGTTCACCAGACGGTTTAGAGGGTAAACCTACAAAACCAAAGCCCTCTAAAAACAGCCAGAAGGAAGACAAAGGCATTTATGCTCAAGGGAAGGACGATCTCTGCACAGCAGTCAGTTTTGACTGTCAGGTTTTTCCAGGCTACTGCTGCTGTTGTCCAAGCACCTTCTCACCCTTCCTTTCCCCCTACCTTCTCTGCAGTAAGGTTTAAGATGGCTATTAAAGGAAACCCTGTTACCCCTGCTCCAGGACAGGTTAAAAGCAGGCCCAGGCCCCATGAATTTGCCTCAATTGTGAAGTTGGGGGCTGGCTAAGCCCTAGTACAGATGTAGGGAATCACCTCCCTTCACCTGCCAGACCATGGTGTGCTCCTGGTCAGAACAGAGGTTACTTTATTCATTAAGAAGTGGTCTCTCCACTCCAGTTTATTCACTTTAAGTTACCAAAGTAAAACATCAAGAATCCAGAAATTGCTCAAATCTCTCTGTCAAATAAAGCTCAATGAGAGCTGGAGAGTACAATTAGACTTTTCATTCTTCTGCCTCTTTTCCTTGGTTATTTAAACCAACACAAATAAGATAACCATAGAGTTTTTGCCAAAAGTGGGAACCAGCCCATAATGCTCAATTTGTTGTCTCCAAGCCTCACCCCCCACCAAGCCCAAAGCCACATACAAAAGGCTAACGCTTCATCCTGCAAACAAGCAGCATGCAACAAGGCACAACGGGGGTGTGGTCACCATGAGCTAACTGCATTCCTAGGGCACTAGATCCAGCCAAATCTCTTTAGTCCACCCCGAGCACAATTATGTCATGATAGCCACACCTCTTAAACTTGCTTTATATTGGCAACAACAACCCTGAGTCTGAAGAAAGCGGCTGTTTTATGGTGCTGGAAGAAAATGAAGCTGACAGTTTGGAATGCCAGACGGCATGTTTAGCTGAACGGTGCAGTTCACACGGATTAGCGTACTCCCGAGAAGGCTAACCGGCCGACCAGAATGCGCCGTCAATCAAGGAAGTTGGAGAATGCAGCGATGAGACCCGACAAGGCTGTTAGTACGGGCCCGATGCGTCGGGAAGCAGCAACATCCCCACCCCAGAGGGTATTGATGTCTAAGTGCTTTTAAAGGTTGGCTTTTTACAGGAAGTTCCAAACCGGGCTTTATTTTTGCAATGTGCTTCATTGAGGATATTTCTGTACCGTGTAAGTGTTACATGGAAATGGCCACACACCCCTGACTCTTTCCAGCAGACATGCTACTGCAAGGAGCCTGTTCCAGCTGCAGTGCTAGGATTTCTTTCCTGGGGGAGGGAGTTAATAACTCCAGGCTGGATTATTCCAAGTCTTCCTTAGGACACCACCTTCCAGCCAAATTTAGTCATGGGTGAGAACATCCCCGGCGTTAGCTACGAAGCTGCTTGTTTAGCTCAAGCTCCATTAACAGATAGGATGCTGCAAGGAACCTTTACTCTTTGTGCCCAACTCAATGTCAACATTTTGCTTTTCATTTTTAAATCCCATCTGTGGCCTTGGTACTTCTAATGGTTTATTTCCAAGGTTTCTCTGTACGGACCAGGCTTTTCAATTCAAGGTTGACTCCCATTGCGCAGAGAACCCCTTAACACTAGAACTGCTGCTGTTTTTCTTGTCCAGGTAAATATCTTCCGATTCAATGAACGCCAAAGTGGAAATTTAATCTCAGCTACTGGGAGAACTGCCAGACGCTGCAGCCTAAAGATTCTGTCCCGAAGAAATGGGGACAGGGAAGTACATGCAGGTTTCTTGCCTGGCAAACACAGGTAAGTAAACTCTAGGTATGAGCAATTCCAACTTACACAATGAAGCTTAAACATGCCCCCTAGCAGAAATTAAATGTCTTCTACGTGTGCCACAAGCTGTACATAAAGAAGTCTGTCTAGTGCTAAGAAAAACGGCTTACCTAACTCAATACATGTTATTCCAAGAGACCAAACATCTACTTTGCCATCATACTGCCCTTCGTCCATGGCTAAAATTACTTCTGGGGCCATCCTAAAACAGAAGAGAGATTCTCATAAACTTCTGTGCATTTGTAATAATGCTTTAATAAACACTTCAATGTCATGGACCATTTCAGAAACCAAGCTGAATGGCTACAATGGGAAGAAGTGCTGAATAGGACACATAGGTTTGGATCCTAACTGGGTACATGGCAGAATACAACATAGCTGGTTAAGTGCCACCGACAGCCTCTTGGGCACCATACAGGAGCCACTCGTGCCCTGTGCCCAGCTCTTCCCATTTGTTACACTGAATTAGCCTTACTGCCTCCTGCCCCACCCACATTGCCAGCAGCCTAGCTGGCTGCTAACCAACTCCAGCCACGTTAACTGCAGCACGCGGTTGTGTAAACACTGCTGGGGGAGGGAAGGAGATTAAAACCCTGCGAGATACCTGCAAAGATTTTTGTGCAATGAATCTGCCCTTTCATATAAAAAGAAATGCACATTAGGTACCTGAAGAGCCAGATGCTCTGAGCCGCTGAACTTCCCTTTCTTTAAAAGATAAACAGACTAAAGCTTCACTGACTCAGGTGGTATTTTTGGGGAGTATATTTTATCCTCACCACAGTTACCAAGTAGATCCAAATAAAGCCTGATCACATTAGATATAAAGCCGAAACAACGTAAGGACTTTCCTTACCAATATGGCGTCCCCACAAATGAATTGGCAGGAGAGGCTATGGAAGCAGATCCAAAATCGGCAAGCTTCACCTGGCCTGGCTCCGTCAGTAGGATGTTTCCTGCCTTGATATCTCTGGTCATGGAAAACAAATGTTAATATTACACCCCTGAGAAAAGGAAAGTGTCTGTAGAACAGCTACAATGAAGTGGTTCTTCAGTCTAAACATTATTTGGAGTGCTTTATCCCTTACCTACCCTATATTCCCAAAGACATTTATTCATATAAAACTAATTTTTAAATTTAGTACTTGTTTCCCTGCACGGGGAAAAAAATACCATGTAAACTTCAAGCCAAAGCTGCTGCAAGCTCTTCAGGCAATCTACATGCTTAGTCAGCTCTGAGTTTTTTCTGCTTTAAGGACTGATCCACCACCACTGATTTTTAACATATCAAGAAGGCAAAAGCCTGTTAGCATCAAGGGACTGCTACAGAAATCATGGACAGCAGATCTAAGAGATGTTACATAAGGGGATACAAAGGTATCTCCCTAGCATGGTACCATTTTTTATGAAATGCTGAACATATGGACACTGCAACCAAATCTCTACTTACAAACATGAAGTGCCATTTCCATCCCCAAAGTGATCAGGATGCAATCAGCAGGATAAATTACCTGCAAGGGTAACAGTGACACAGTATGGCTGTGAGCACTCACCTATGGATCATGTTGTGAGAATGCAAGTATGCTAGTCCTTGGAGAGCACCATGGGTAATTGCTGCTATTTCCACTTCTTGCAATGGCTTTTTATGAACTACAGGGGAAATCATATTTAAAATTCAGTACTGTGGAAAACAATGGTACTGACAACATGCAACGAACACGATCAAATATTCAAACGCAGACTCAGAAAACAGTAAGCTACAAGACCTGAGAGCAACGCGAGAAGCCAAAACAATTTCTAAAATGTTTATAGTGCATTCTTCACTGGGCAATCAGATGTAGTCCTCTGACTATGATCCTGTAGCTACCCATTCTGTCAAAAAGCCCTCTCTGCTGGCTTTGAATTAAATTCCTGAAAGCATTGGTAGGTAGATCCTACCAAGTAGTTATTGGAGATCGAACACTTTGTTTACCACTAATGAACCAATATCATACATACTGCAAACTTCTGGGCATTCATTAAGACCTACAAAACCAGTAGCAAAACATATGTGGAGGAAGCCATAGGATGGGGCAGGCAATTATTTTGGACAGAGGGCTGCTTACTGAGTTTTGGCAAGCCATTGAGGGTCGCGTGACAGACAGCCCAGGGCAGATTAATATTAAATTTTCTAAATTTTTTAGGGGCCCCGCAGGTCAGATAAAACGGCCTGGCAGGCTGCATCTGGCCCCCGGGCCGCATTTTGCCCAGCCCTGCCGTAACTGCTTCTGGTTGCAGGGTGAAGAACCTTCTGGCCCACAATACACTTCTGATGAAAGCACTTCTTAAACAGCTTGATGGGAAACTAGAGTAGCTAATAAAAGTCCTAAGGGAGCCAGTTATCTTTACTGCCATGGCAGATGAGAAAACCTATGCTTGATAAAAGCAAGTGGATTAAGCCCTGGGGGTGAGAAAGAGAAGAATCCCAAATTCAATGAATATGAACAGTTGGTTGAAGCCTTATCCTACGGTAGAACCAGAAGACTGGAACTGTGTGGATGAAAGCTAATGCAATAGGGACAACGACTGCAGCCACATCAGATCTGCAAGCCAGTGCAGCTTTTCATTCCTCCCCAAAAGCACTAAACTGAACAGTCCAGAACAACTTTGTGACCTGCAATCTGCTATTTATGACTTCCAAGCAAAGAAATGTTTGAGACATACCTTCTAGTAAGTCTGATGCTGATCCTAAACAATATTCCATAACAAGCTGTGTGAGGGAAAAAAATGAAATAAACTATTAGATACCACTGAAAGACAAACAGTTGACAGCGCAGCTTTCATTTAGCATGCTAGCATCTTCTACCAGGAGCTTGTCCTGCAATTCAGTCAAAGCCACCACCGTCCTAATCATCTCACAAGCTTTTAAAATAAATATTTGAAGAAAATATATGCAGAAAAAAATGCTTGGATCCAAAACGCAGGTTTTGAAAAAACAAATGCTTGCATATTTTCTTTCTGTTTAAATTCCAATCGTGCTTAGATATATTGTGCATCTATAATAAGGAAAGGAAGGAAAAGGGGATTTATATATTGTTTATGATGGAAGAGGCAAGGTTAATATCCAGTGAGATAAACTATAAAGACAGCAGAGGAAGAGTGTTAAGACTGAAGCCTATTCCACGCAAGCAACTTTTGCTGGTACAGCAGTGTTAGCTATGGAAATGATTTCCTCCCCTCAAGATAGTTTTATAGCAGAAAATACCCTGGTCTAGGTCAGTTATATTGGCATAAAAGTGTTTCTGCTGGAATAAATGTTTCCTATACTAACAGGATTTGCCAGTGACAATCCTTGCCTAGTGTAGACTAACCCTAACAGGAGAATACCAGTTTTCAGATCCATGATTGCTATAATCCAGCATCGTTCCCAACCTACAGCCCTATTCTGCCCCCTACTCACACTGCATACTCCCTCTCTACCAGATCATCTCCCACTGAAGTTAGCAAAGCTGCTAATAAGATACCTGAGCAGTAACAAAGTCACATTCATAGCCAAATATATTTTCTATTATTAACTTATATTGTACTTAAACATTTACCAGGAATACTGAACAACATTTAGCTGATTTACCAAAGCATTTAAGGGATATTTAACCATTTATTTGTACAGTATTTATTGTTATGATTAAGTTTCTAAAAAAGTATCCTTTTAATGACACATAGCATTACTAATGTTGATTTAGGAATACTGTCTGCAAGTTAATACAGTTTAATACATAAAACATGGCGATTAAACTATTATAAAATGGTACTATGCAATTTATCTTTGAAAGCTACCTGACATTAGATTCTTAGTGCAGCCTCTTTATTTACCTAAAAAATGCATATGCAATGAGAAATTGAAACCAACAAAGTTTTTTTGTTTCTTTTTAATTTTGTGTATACACATTCCCCTATGCTGTTTCTAACCTACATTTTGTAACACTGTTACACTGTTTCTATCCCAAATGTTGAAACAACAACATATAAAAGCTAAAAGGGAACTGGCCAGGCAGTTTTAGGTCATCCAAATGCTGTAAAAATGAAAAGGCAAAACAAATGAAGGACATTGGGTGGAAAACGAAGTCAGACTGCTGAAAAGGGAAGAATTTACAGGATGGACCGTGACGAAACATTGCTTGCAGATTCTTTACAATATAATTGCATAATCTGACCATTCTACTACAAGGCAATTAACCACTTGCATATGAAATGCTCTCTGAAAAAAAAAACTGTAAAAGACAAGTAACAGCTCAAACACACACATGCAATTGTCATACTTGTTTCCGGCATAGAGAAAATTAGATAAATGCATTTTGCCTCTTCCAAAGGGAGAATGAAGAGGCCAAGTACTTGTTTTTTATCCAGCAGTGAAAGGAGCTGGGGACAATAACACCACACACTCCTGCACAAAGGAAGCAGAACATTTTCAGGATCTCTCGATCTCCCAGGCCAGCAGCGCCCATTCAGCCTTGCTGCGTACCGCTAAGGGTCCCAGGCTGGATGCATCCGCCTCTGTATGATGCAAATGCTCAGGTGCCTCCCCAAAGCCAGCTGGAGATTTTTATTTTTATTTCACTCGCCCTCGACCGAAACAAGAGAAGTGCAGAGAGGAGAGCAGATGCTTACCCATGCTGTATGCTCCCGCAAATAGCAGCCTTTGTATTCTATACTGTTAGGATGTTTTATTCTTTGTAGGAACTTGACTTCCTTAATAATATCCTGCCATTTCTGCAGAAAAGAAAAGGAATAGGAAGAAACTTTACAAAACTCTTAAAAAAAAAAAAAACCTGAAAAAAAAGAAAGAAAGTGACTTTGCACAGACAAACAGAGGAGGGAAATGGCACACTCCTCCGGATTCTCAATCCCCGAATTCAAGCAAGGGTTTCATTCATACCGGGAGTCAGCATTTCTCTGTCTCTCAACAGGAGGTTGCAAACTTCAGTTACCTTGCAAATGGAAATGTAAAGCCTTTAACGTCCCATTTTACACATGGGACACACTGCTCTGACAGATCCTGGAGATCTCTCACACCATATTCAAAGAAAAAAAAAAAAAAAAAAAATCAGGCTGGCCCTTCTGGGGACCCAGTTTTCATAGTCATATCACACAGAGATCCCAACAGGAGGAGGTCAGGCTGAGTACCATGCCTTTCTTACAATCCTAGACAACGAGGACTGGAAGGGAGCTCAGGAGGTCACATCTAGTCCAACCCTCTGCTCCAAACAGGACCAGCCCCAACTACGTCATCCCAGCCAAGGCTTCGCTAGCTGGGTCCAAGGATGGAGACTCCATCACCTCTCTGGGAGCCTGTTCCAGTGCTCCACCCACCCTGCTAGTGAGAAAGTTTTTCCTAATATCCAACCTCAGCTTCCCCTTGCTGCAGCACGAGCCCATTGCTCCTTGTTCTGTCGTCTGCCCCCACTGAGAACAGCCCAGCTCCAGCCTCTTTACAACCCCCCTGCAGGGAGTCGAAACCCCTCTCCGGCACTCTTGACTGATTCACACCCAACCTGGGAGGTTTAGGACCTGGCCCTGCTGCTATGTACATGACTTCTAAACCACCTGAACTTGCCTCTCACCAAACGGTTGACTATGTTCTTGATAGCATTTCTCTTGTATTCACTTCAATCTCTGAAAGCGCCTTACCTACTGATAAGTGACCTACTTGCAGTGAGTTACAGAGAAAACATCACAAACAGTTCATTTCTGCTACTTCTAGGACAATATATTTTTAAAGAGATGCTGCAAACGTAAAGAGTGACCCTTCTATGTACACACTGTGCACTTACTATTTCTAAAGGTAACACCCTGCACACGGCTGTAACTTTAAGACTGGAAAACTGATTTCTACCCCCGCCTTCCCCCCACTTTGTGATTTAATAGCACTTTGTACATAGTTTCACGGTTTTCCACAGTTAGTCACCCATCCCTTTTGTTTGTTCCACATGCACGTGGCCTCAGGGTGAGAAAAGCATTAATAAAAAAAAAAAAAGGAAAATGTGATTGTAAAAGTAACATTATTGGCAAGGACTCTCAAAGGCAAGCAGAGTACCTGAAACTACTGAACTGACTCCATTTCCAGATGAGTGTGTGCCACTTAGGCTGACACTGAACAAAGTCTCAAAAAACTGCAAGCAGCCCTTGCATCTAATTAGGAGCTGCAATCTCCAGAAGACACTTGTTATACTGGTCAGCCTCTCAAGACCTATGCCTTTTCTAAAAGCCGTGCAAAACAGGCACATCCATGCAGCCTACTTTACAAAGCCTCAGTCTACCAGGGTACAGCCACAGAAAATGTAAGTTTGAAGAGAGTTCTTCAAATGTGAATGGAGAGAGTATCTACAACAGCAGACAAAAACATTTCTCAAGCCACAAAAAGCATCCTTTTATTGACATGGCGACTCTAGAACTGTTAACACCTTGTACCAGCAGTATCATTTCCCCATCACCTATGCACAGAGTTGTCCAGCTGGCATCCTGCATTCATGCAAAGTCCAAATTGCAAAGGAAAACTCAAGAGGTCTAATCACAGGCACCTTCACATTGCACTTAGAGATCAAAGGTGACCTGGAAAGGGATAAAAGAAGAAAAAAAGGGCCCATGTGTACTGCTTTGCTGACATGAGCATAGCTTGAATACTTGACCAAAAACAACTTTCTTCTCTGCTTGCTTTGTACGTCTGCAATTCAGATCCTGAAGGCCTTGTGGTGACAAGGGCATTCAGATATGAGAGCCAGGGGTACTATAAAACGTGGCTCTTACAGGAGAGCAAAACCTGAACAACTGAAAGGAAAGGCTTGTTTTGAAGTGGGCTGATTAAAATGTGTTTCCTTAGCTTACGTTAAACACTCAGTTATAATACTAATGTTAACACTCAGTTATGATCTCAGGTCTCTTCATGGACAACTGGACCCCAAGAAATCCTTTAGGATAACAGGAAAGACCAGACTTGATATTATCAGGATCATAAGGTATAAAAACAGTAGGAAAAAAGAAAGCCTATCAGTGTTCAGCCTGTCCTTTCTGAACATCATAAAGGAATCGGCTCCCAGCTCTTAAAAAACTCTTGTGCAGGAGACCTCACTGCTTGCTTCACTCGCTGGCTTTCAAGTATAGAAACTTTATGACTCAGAGAAGCTGTGGCTAATAGTTAAGTCCACTTTTTAGCTTCAAGGTTTTTCAACATTTCCCAGGGATCCAACTGTGCCATCAACTCAAGCCTACAGGTTTCTACTTGATTGCCTTCAGTAAGCTCTGTCCAAACCCTTCCAACTGTGTCCCCATAGACTGACCTTAGGTCTCCTTTACACGGATGCCACAATCTTCCTTCCTTTCAAACCTATCACCAGGTGCTCAGTTACTGGGTCAATACTTCTAGAGGTGCTAAAACCCAAATCAGGCAAGGCAGGTTGCAATGACCTACCCAGGAAAGTTGGTGCAGCTATCCTAATATCAGCCTATATGTGGAGTTGTATTGCTATAATCACGTTGGTTTTAAGTTCAATCGGTCATATATAGAAAAAACCTGAGACCAACTTATGAGCACAGAACCAAGTTTCCAAAGGTGTCTCACTTTATTTTTTAAATGAAAAATGCTCCTGGCCTAGATGGTCGCCCCGTCTCAACCAATGCCAAAACCCCACTATAAACTGAGGCAGACATAAGTGACAATGGACTGCCCCAAAGAGATTTACATTATAGAGGCTAGATTACCACCTGAACAAATTTTCCTCTTCAAAAGATACAGGGAAGCAGAAAGAAAAGCGTGTTAAATACCATCTGATTTTTTTTCTTCAGAATAAAGGCCAACACCCATTGAAGACAATCAGAAGCTATTTGTGAGGCATGCATAGTTCATTCATGTGAACAAAATATTTATAGATCATAGTAATTAAAACGGTAGGACAAGAAGTGGGTACAAATTATACCTTCATCAGTAGACAATTAAACAAGTTACTGCGGCAATGAGAGACGTACAGAAAGTTTAGCTCCGGAACTAGGATTTGGGGCTGAGGAGGAGAGAGAGGTATTAGAAATCCCTCAGGAACCAAACACATTCTCTACTTCTTCAAAGTATAGGTGGCCAAAACAGGTACAGTGATCATGGAAAGCAAGAGTTAGGAACTGTTAGGTCAGCTCGCCCATCTGTCAGAGCAGGATAGTGCTTAAAACCTTTCAGAGGGCAGCAAAGGGAGAATAATGTTTAAAAAATGCCTCAGACTGGTAGCTCCCAACCCTTCAGTCTTCATGGGTATCCTCTCATCCTTATCACCAAACTTTTAACTGCTTCCTCTTCTCCCCCCACCAGTTTGTCAGACATGCACGGGCAACAGCTACAGCCACTTACCGTGCCTGACCACAGTTTGGGACCCCACTGCCTCAGACAATGTTCAATTTGAAGACATGCGTTAGCACTTAGAAACACTTTGAGTCTCAAGCTAATGATCTCTGTTAATGTTTGGGGGAAAAAATGTCTGGGGTGGACATTAAAATATTTAACGTTCACATGTCAGAGACCTGCTCTTACCAATACCTCTTCGAAGTCTGTTTCACACCCCATCTCAGAAAATGTTCGCATCATGATTTTGATTTATAATAGCTTCTCCACCTCCACCACGTTTCCCAAAACACAACCAGTCAGACAGTTTAGGAAAGGGAGGCTCACTCCCCTTCTATTCAATTTTACAAGCTGGCCTTGCTCCTGAGCCCACGCCACTCCTGGATTCACTGCTCTCATTCCTGGCAAACCTTTGTCCCTAGCACGGAGTAGGGATTTTTTTTTAATGGCATTGAGAATCGAATGTTTCAGCCTAGAATGGAAGCTCAGCTATTAAGTCAAAATGCTATAGGCCTGGGTACCAACTATTTTCATTTTATCATTTTCTTTATGTATTCAAGGTCCCGAAAGAGATGGCTCTTCCTATCTGAATGCAATGAATCGTGCTTAACATTGCCAGGAGCAGACTAGGCAGAAGTATGTTCAAAACGCTGAAAGAAACATGTTCTTGTTTACACGGTACCACAATTCACCTGCACTGATTGGCAGAGATTCTCTCTGGGTACTGCCCAGATGAGATCGAGTCATCAGACAGAATGAGTACTTGCAGCAGTCTGGGTTTAATTGCACATACCTCATTGGATTGCTTCCCACTATAGGACATTTTCTTGATGGCCACCACTTCGTTGGTGCGCACATCACGTGCCTGTAACACAAGAATGCCACGAGTGAGTTACTGTGCAACAAAAACTCCCAGTAAAGAAAACAAAAAAGGGGCTTATAGTTCATCTGGACATTGAGAGGTCAGATGAAATTTCTGCTACAGCATGGCAAATGGCGGATCTATTCAGAAACCTGCGTCTTCAGGCTGATAAAGATCACACTCCTGGTTGCAGGATGCAGTATTCAAACTCATCTTTCTGTCATCGGTATCCGCCAACACTCTGTAAGAGCTGAACACAGTTGCTTCTATGATAAAGAGCATCCTCTGCTGCAGCAACTCCCACTTCAAGCAGCACAGGTCTTCTCAAAGCCAACCTCCTCCTCCTCCACCTCCCTTCCTGAAGGGATCTAAAGAAATCAAACTCCAGGCCCAGACCCCTGTTCCAGTCCAAACACAAGCAAGCATGCTGTGATATTACAGGGACAAAATTACCAACAGCAGCTATAAATGCTGGATCCTTTAGTCCTGGTGGTGTTTGGAAATTAGTCTTATAGCAAGGCGGATGGTGTCGGGTTGAGTTTCCGACTGATTCACCTTTGATGTAGTTACCATTTGTACTGCCTGGTTTTTCATGCCACAGAGATACCCAGACGGTTTCAATATACACGAAGGCGTGGTGACAACATAGAGAGGGGCCTGCCTGATATAGTAGAGCCATGCAGAAAGCCTATGTCTGAGGTTAAGCTTTACTTTCATACTAGTTAAAGGTTACTAGGAGTGGACAGCCCACACAGAGGAGGAAGGCAAGAGCAATGCCTCGCCCAGCTGAAGCGATCGCTCAACAATGTCATAGTCAGCCCTCTGCCGAAAGTACCAAAGCAGGGACAAGGAGGGGCTGGGAGCCCCCAAAACACGGGAGGCTGTTTGAGACTGCAGACAAAAATCTGGGTGCATCTTGATCCTGGGAGAAGGCAAGGTACCAAAGTTCATAAGAACCTGAGTAGCTAGAGCAGCAATACAAGACACATAGATGGGGGAGAGGAATAAGGGGCAAAAAATACTCAGAGCAGACGTTTTATAGACACCAGGCTGGGTAATGCTTTTTTAAATTTTTAACTCCACTTTGCCGCTGCCTGTAGCATGACTGGAGAACACCTACTAGTTTGCATTATCCACTTATTAATCCTGCTGACAGAACATAAGAGAACTTCAGCATTTCCCTAGGGGAGTGTTTCTCAACCTTTTTAGCCTCAAGGCATCCCACCAGACATTTTCTGGCACCCCGGGGTGCCGACTGAGAATCTGCATGCAGAAAAGTTACAGAGAGCTCCCTTGTGGATAAAAAGGCTGAGAAACACTGATCTAGCTGGTGCCGGGGACGGTAGCCATACGTGAAGGGGCAAGGGTGGTCCCTGTGGCTCAGGCTGCTCCCCTGGGCTTGCGTATGCCAGCAGCTGGAGCCTCCCGCTGGCCCTGGGAGCGTGGGAGAAGCTGCGGGGGGCAGCTGGCTGAAAAACCTGGCTCTGTCCATGCATTCATCCGCCTGCCTGCCTACAGCACAGCGCGCTGCTCAGTGTGGAGGCGGGCAGCAGAGGGTGGGGGAAGGCAGGCAGGGATGCCGTGGACCTAAAAGATGCTGGAGCGGGCATGGTGAACCAGACAGGGGCACCCCTCAAGGGATCTCGTGGCACCCTGGTCGAGAATCACTGCCCTAGGGATTGGACTAGTTTTGCAGGAAAATAAAAAAAATAAGATATCCTTCCTATTAAACTTCATTCATCCTACACATCTTCCTTACCTTAAAAATTCTCCTTTCCCTTGTGGGCTCTCTCATGTTTTAGCGTAGAATAGTATGGAATACAATTTGCCTCTCATATAAAGCTTCCTATATAAAATTACTTTCATGAAATTTCCAAAGAACAAGAAACAGATCGTAACCACATGCTCAGCTTGTGTGCTGAAGCTGAAAACTGCAAGATTGACACCAGACAGCAGCATGACGTTCCCATCAACAGGAAGCAGTCCTTCATTGCAAAAAACTATGCCAGACCTAAAACACATCTGAGCAGCCTCACACAAAGCTTACACTTTGTCCTTTTGTAGGCAGGTCTAATCTGGTACCTGCCAGAGCCTGAGAAGCACAGTCAATGTGGGGCAGATGCGTGAGTTAAGAACAAGCAGGAAACAAATTAATGTTTCAAGACACAGAGTGCAGGAAAGAGGAAGGATGAAGAGCCTGGAAGGATGGGTTCTCCACCATGGGACTTCATGGCCCCATGAGCCATGCTGCTTGAAAGTTGTCCTGGTAGAGGCATTTGGTCCTCATGTGATTTCTGACTTGGATCAAATGCAAGTTTCTAGAGATGCTGATGTGCTGAATGCTTCTCTCCCCTTGCTGTTTTGGAGCAGGCCCCACGCTACCGCTTTCAGGTAACAACCAGGTGCTGGTCTGGGGAGCCGCCAGTTATCCCCTATATTCATGCAAGTCCTACTAATACGTAGGAAGGTTCAAAACCTTTGGACACTGTTTCAGGAGGTGGACGGAGAGGGGAAGTCAAACGATAAATTGACTTCCAGTTTTACCTTAAATGAACTTGATGACACAAAGTAAATGCCACAGGTAAGCACTGCTTAATTATAAAACATTTGCTCACACAGATCTGTTCCCAAACAGTGGCAGCTCACAGTTTTAAGCAAGGAACAAAATTAAGAAGCTTTTCCTAATTAGTTCATCTGTGCTGCATTAAATTTGTGCTGGAAGGTTCCCAACATGGTCTGCCGCAATTATTAACGATGAATAGGCAGCTCATAAAATACTGACACAAATAGCTCTCTGAAAGAAAACTGACAGGTTTGGCCACACCTCCTATAATTATAAATGAGAGGAGGTTTGCAAAAGAAAGTGGCTTTTTAATGAAGGTCTCACGATAAGCTCTCGGGTTAACATACGGCGAGTTGCAAATGAGGTAGGTAGCAGTAAGAAGCTAAAAAATGGCCCACCTCTCAGCTGAGCTACACAAGCAAAAAGCAGGCTGGGAAAAATCCCGGTGCCCAGAAGCTCCGGTCAAGTTGAGATGTTACACAAGGAAGTACAACCTGCTGGGCAAGGACAGGGAGGGAGCTCGGGGCACTGAGGACACAAGTTTTGGGAGGCCAGACACAAAGAATGGCTGCAAAACAGCTAAGAGGAGGAAAAGAAATGAGCCGCCCTTCGAGACAAAGGAGGAGAAGGAAACGTATGCTGAGCAGAACTGCGCCATCAGTCAGAAGAAAGGGTGGACGGACAAGATGGGGAGCCAGGCATGGAGGGTGGGAGAAGTATAGGCCTAGCTAAACGTGGCCAGGCGAGATCACAGAGGAGGGCACTGCTAAACAGCCGCCAGGCATGCCCTGCGAGTGCCGTGACTGGTATGTGGTGCTCAGCTTTGAGAAATAATGGTAGTTTCCCTTTTCAGAAAGGTAAGCAGCAGTTTAACTTCCGAATTACAGCGGAGCAGCGTGCACAGCAAAACCGCCTAACCAGCCACTATTCACTGCTGCAACACACTTGGATCTAGGATGGGAACGGCCTCTTCTCCAGTGTACTGTCCTGCGGGGACCTGACTTTCCCTCTTATATGTGGTTTGCAGTTGGAGTGCACACAGGGATACCAGCGACCGATGGAAGCCCCTTTGCACTAGTGCTGTACAAATGCTTTGACAGCCAAACCTGCCCCAAAAGGTCTAAAGACCTCATTTATGTTCCTCTATGCAAAGTGGAAGAGGCAATGGGTGGAATTCATTAATAGCCAGCTCGTAGGCTCAAGCCAAGCAGGTACTTACAAAATAAACTGCTCCAAAGCTTCCATGACCAATCTCTCGGAGATCTGTGAAGAGCTTCTCAGGATCTTCTTTGAAGAACAGCTCTGCAATTTCTGGGTCCTTCAGGCTGCCCGCTCGGCTGGTTGATGGCATCCTGCCGGGCAGTTAGCCGACTATCTGGGTTTAAAGTGCCGCTTCAACCCCTGGCTCATCTGTATGAATGGGGCCTCTTCAGCATGGATTACTGTGGAGAAAACAGAACACCACATCATTGACTATGACCCTCCAAAGCCCGTGCAAACCCACAGAGGAGAGACTGCCACCTCAACCTGGACACCATGCTGCTGAGCAATGCAAACAGAAACCTAGGAGCTCTTCTACCAGAGGATCCCAACAGGTATCCAAGTCAGATGTGTGCATTCACGGAAGGCAAAACTAAACCATGCAAGTCACGTACCCCATCCCACTCCATCATCTGCCTAGCTACTCTGGGCTGACTGAGGAAGGAGGGGAGATCATCATAAGTTGTACGTCCCTCAACCATCCCTTGCACTTCTGCATGCTATCGAGGGGCTACGGAGGAAACAGGAGTTTGTATCGATTCTAAATGTACTACCCTATCATTTCATTCAGTGTTTCCTTCTGTTATTACATCACAGGCTAAACACGAGGCACCGATCAATTTTTACTAATGTGTAATCCTGCCATAGACACCTTTACGCCTTCACTGGTCAAGGGCAAGTAGGCCCCCCATCCTTTCCAGCATCCCCTTCCACGTAGATCAAGCCTCCCATCTTGGAAGGCAGCAAGATGAGGAAGCAACCACATTTCAGATGGTGACGAAACCAACTGCCTTTTACATGCATGCATTATTTTCAAATCAGCACAAGCCTCCAGTTTGCTCGAATTGCTGTAGTACATTATGGAGCCATCTTCATTAGAGCATCTGCAAAAACCTCCCTCAGAGGAACCCCAAGGTCAGAGGCCATTAGCAGGTGTGAAATATTTCACTTCTATTAAACATGCATTACCTGCTCTTTATCCAAAGTTTATCAGGCCCGTGTCTCCTCTAGAGGAAAAAAGCTGCACTCCTGACATGCGACAATCCTGCTGTTGGCAGGAGTGCCAAAGCTATAAGGTGTCAGCTAGTCAAGGTAAATGAGGGGAGCCTAGGCATGACTGCAATCAGGTAGCACATGTTACACACTGGCTTATCCAGAGAACAAGCCCACAGCAATGGGAATTTCTCAAGGAAACTGCCCCCACCAATCTTGTGCGACTGGCAAACCGCTAACACAGCTCACTTCCTTCTCCAGCCCTTCCTGCCCAGGCTGGGAATGACGTGCTCTTTCACCCCTACGTTCCCTCTCTCAAACCTACAGAAAGGTTTGAATTTCACAGCAAGACAAGGACCACAAATCGGAGCTAAACTGTCATGTTTAAAAATCTCTTAAGCCTGCCCACTTCTTTCCCTGCTCTCTCCAACCCCCCCACCAGCTCGCTCCAAATCTCCTGACCTCTTGCGCGTCACTGGTTGTCTCCTCCCTCTGTGGAGCAGTTTGTACAGAAAGGATAGGAACAATTGTGCTCCTTGGTGTGCCTGTGCACAGTGGCACTTCCCTCTAGGCAGCTGCCACATGGGAATCGGACAAAGGCTGCTTGATCCCTGCTATAGCTTCAAGTAACTGCCAGCACCGTTAAAAGGAAAAGCTCTATTGTGCGCCAGCACGGCCAACACAAACCCAGTTGTGAACTCTGTACCACCATCCAACTTGCCTGCCTGAAGGGTGGTTGGGAGAGAGAAAAGAGTGAAGCAAACCAAGCACTTCCAAAACCTACCTCCAAATGGCTAGGGTTGCAAAAATGTGCACACTCACCCAAAAAATATTCCAGTGACAGCACCCAATGAACAATTAAACACACTCAAATACTGCAATAATAGGAGCAGGGATAAGAAAGTAGAGAGAACTGTGAACGATGCACAAACAAAGATTTTTTTAACCATTCATGATGATGTGTGTATGCAGGCACCATTTAAAATAGTACGATTATCAGATTAAATTTCTTTAGCACATAATATGCAATAATAATAATAGAATGCAAATCTGCAAAGCCAAGCCAGTCAGATGGTGTCAAAAGGTGCACAGGACTGTCGCATCTACATCTTATTATTTCTTATAAAAACGGAGGGTTCATGGCAATAAACACGACATCTGAACCAGCTGCAATTCAGTCAACACCTGAAATGCGCTTAATTTATAAAGAGGGCAGAAGAGGAAAAAAGGGTAGCAATATTATAGTTGATCCCAGCCCTGGAAAGAACGGAAACCGAAAGACAACTGTATCACGCTGACAACCCAGGGCTGAACAATAGACAAAAAGCATCAGTCAGAAAAGCAAGAGAAAGGAGGGGGAAGGGAGCCGATAACCACAGCACACTCAGTATTATTGAAGGAATGCTTCTTGGATCAACGGTAATGATGTCATGTTCCATCTTTTAAGAAGCATCAGATTCGTACAAAAAGGACATTGTTGTTCAAAAGCACCTTCTGCAATCCCACAATGCCCTTTCCCCTACATCTGTTAATCGGAGGGACGAGGCTTGGACAAACCTGCCAATATGGCCAAAGTCACGTGTCCTCTTGAGTGTGTGTGCATGCACGGGAGAGTGAGCGAGAACCCCCCCCACCCCCACACACACAGCTGAGATGGATTACGGGGCATCCCCCATCCGAATTAGCCACTCGGCTCATTCTTGGCATGATCTTGGAGCATGCCTGCAAAATGCCATCAACAGATGAGGCTTTTTACCAGCACACGCTCCGACCGTGCTAAGTGACGAGTATGCGGAAGTGGTGCAAATCAAGCGCTCTGTCTTATTTCACTTTGTGAAAGGCAAGTGACAGTGGAAGCAGGAAAACTGAAGCACCTTTTCTCTGCTACGATAGACCTTACAAAAAACATTTCCTCTTGTTCTCAGAGAGTTGCAGCAAATTGTTTTATCCCAATTCTGGACATACTTGCTACACTGAGACGTAGGAGAGCAAGCAAGTATTACCATTAAAAACTCAATTAAGTGTGAGTTACACATGTATGCATAATTCTGTATCTAGCTTTGTACTCACTTAAGCTGAACAAGCATTGCAAAAAATACTACAGTGAATGCCGCCCATTAGAAAGCTTTCCAACAGCTTGCTATCATTTGCTTTATGGTATAACAAAATTTTTTCTACATTAAAAAAAAAAGTGCTTTAGCATTAAGTTCCCCAAATCATTGTCTGACAGACAACATGAGCACATCACAAACACAAACACACATACACTCCCCCCCAAGATCCAGGGAATGACGATTAAACTATTTCACCTCTCTTCTGCAAACACAGATGCTCTGATTTTGGGGTGGTGGGAAGGAGGACAAGAGATGGGGAGGGTAGATGTGTCCATGTATCACTGCTGATGTTGTAATAATACTGCTAGGCCCCAAAACATGAGATCCCAGCTAAATTGGACTGAAACCTGAAGGGATCAGTTCTTAAGGCAGGGGCAGGCAACTATTTGGGGCGCAGGGCCACTTACTGAGTTTTGGCAAGCCATCGAGGGCTGCATGACAGGCAGCCAGGGGCAGATAAATATTAATTTTTTAAATGTTTGTAGGGGCCTCACAGGCCAGACACACACACACACACACACACACACACACACACACACACACACGAATGGCATTTATTTGACTGCGTAACTCTTACTGATACTGATTACAGGCCAAAATGTTTTATTAAATTAATTTAATCTGAACAACTATCAATTAGCAGAGATTGCACGCATGCACCCGTGAAAGTCCATGTGAACCTGAGATGTTATGCTGCCTATAATTATTAGATGCACACACCCCTCCGAAGCACTGACATCATGAAGCTGCAAAATGAGAAAGGGGGAAAGTACTAGTCTGCAAGACCTGTTCTCTGCGGGGTTTTCTGCCTCCATCCTTGCTGAAGTGAGACCCCACCCTGTGACTAAGATCCACTGGGATACTGAAGAAAGCTCTGTAGAGTCAACTGCTGTATGTCAATGTAGATTTAAGCCCTATTGTACAGAGGACTGGCAGCTAACTTAAAGGACAAGCTTGGCAAGTCTGCTAATATCCAGCTGTAACTCCTGTATACAGTGCGTTTCACTAACACCACTATAAAATGATGGTGGCAGGTGCACACATCTCAGGTCACCATTTGTATTATGTTCATGTAATAAGCAGACATCTTGAGGACAGAATAGGTTTAGTTGTCACTGCGGCAGCCTACTAACTGTGATTGCTAGGTATCAGCGAGGATCGGCTCCGAGAATTGTGCCAAGACCGAAGCCAGTGAGAAGCAAAGACGATCAGGATCGATCAGATGGTGCCAAACATTATTGCATCTAAGGAACCACAGTTCCTTGGCTACTCAAAAGGCTAAACTGCAGCTCTAAGGTCAGTGCACAGGCTTGCTTGAAATCAGACTATTAAATGGCAGTGTATTTTTTCCATACACAGCAAAGAACAGACAAAGTTCATGTCCTTTAACTGATGCTTGCTATGTGTCGGCTACCACAACTCATGTGAGCAGAAGCAGAGGTAGCCAACAGATGCAGCGTGATAAATGATTTCACAGTATCTACGTGGCTTTCCATCTCATTGGGCATCAGGCTGCACACCACAGCAGGACACTGGACTGATGTGATACCTAATAAGGACAGCAAGGATGGTCAGCTGAATGTCCCTCCATCCCCCCAAGAAACAAGTCATCTGCGCCTTGCAAACATACCTTGCTTGTCATTAAATTACGGCTGCTCTCGACAATTTAAAATATCCCAAATATGGTCCAATCTGCGGAAACAAATCTTTATTGTGTCAGAGAGGAGATGCTGGACCATGCATGAAATATTAGCACGCTTGCACACACATTCAGGTTGCCAGTAACTAAAATCGGCAGAGACATTTCCTCGAACATGGAAGATTTTAAAGGGAATATCCAAAAGACAAATACCACCAGCCCTTCAAAGTTAAAACCGTGCCTCCATTTGGAAATTGGTAGTTAGGATTTTTAGGGCATCTAATCTAAATGTTTAGCAAATAGTTGCTACATTTTGGAATAGTTTCCTTTGACAGGATCTATCATAAAAGCATAAAACACATAGGAATGAAGTTTCACCATGCAACTGTCAAAAGAAAGGAGAAGGGGTTTTTTGCTGCTTGCATGTGGGTCATTT